CAATAAACCAAGACAACGAGCAGTGCACAATTTGCAGTTGAATTTGAATTCTTTTTCTTTTCTCAACATATGTTTGTGATATATGTATGAGAACGTAACATAATATGTAAAATTTTATAATGAACTAAAGAAAAACAAGAACACAATCAATAATAACAATAATAAAATAAAATTATTCAAAAAAAATTTAAATAATAACGTCTACTGATATAAAAGTAAAGAGAGTGAATAATAGTTAAACCAACCACTAAAATGAGAAAAACTAGAGAAGGTGGATAAGGAAAAAGAATGTACCCGCTTAGTGTGACTTTGATGCTCTTAAGATGGGTCCAGGCAGGAGCTGGGACCTCCCACACCATGCTAAAATCATCATCAGGGCGTACAGATCCAGACCTTCCAGCCAAATCCCTTACATGACCATAGCTTGGCAGGACTTCATACATATTACCAAGGTAACGTTGAATAACCTTTGCCTTCGTAACAGACTCCACAACAACCACAGTCTTTCCAGTGGGAGGATATAGCGGCTTGACAGTAATTTTCTCTGGAAGTTTCACTTCATTGATCACTTCCTGCTTTGACTCACTAGTAGCCTTCATCGATTTCCCTTTCTCACTGGAACTCCCACTTTTTTCTTTGACAATTTCTTCTTAGAAGCAGGTTTATCAAGTTCTTCTTCTGATGCAGTCTTTGTTGAATTCTTCTGTGAAAAAGCTGTCTCAGTAAGAATGTTTCAATGTAAAGGCTAAAAAGCATAATTTCCTCATTACAAATACTAATTTACTAACCTTTGAAATACGTGAGGAGCTCTGGCCCGTAGCAAAAAGATGCGATGCATTTGCTTCAGAAGAATTTATAGAATCCTGTGCACCAGCAACCTCTTCCGATGAATTGTTAACAGAATTCTTGTTCTTTTTACTTCCTGACTTCTTTCTTCCATTGAGTTTAGAGTCCTGTTTACTATTAGCAGGTGTTGCTGATGTCGACAATCCCTTGTCTTCAACTAGACACTTTCTTGAAGTTAACAGATCTACATCTTTCGAAACAGAGGTACCAGAAGTTACATCTCTATCTTTGCCATGAACAATAAAAGCTTTTGCCCGTTTCTTGTGTTTATTAGAACTCTTGAGGCCCAGAGTAGACTTATCATGCTTTCCATCTACGGCATTCACAGTATCATTTCTAGTTTCCACTTTCCGGACATAAGAAACATACCTCTTATGGAAAATCGCATCATTCGTTAAACTCCTTCCAAAACCTTTCTCCGGATATGGGAAACTGAAATTATTCAGAGATTCCACAGATTTACAGAACCCCGGTCTTGCAAGTACAGGGATAACAGCAGTGCGCCTTAAAACATCACTCGTACCATTGAAAGGACAAAAGCTTTGGCCAATGCTTGTATGCTTGATTGACATTGTCCCAGGCTTTCTAAATTTAACTTGGGAACTCTTTTGGCATTTGATACTGCTGGTGACGCTCCATGTTGAATGTGATATGGGTGGGTTCTGAAGTGCCCTTAATTGTAACTATAAAACCATTTCACATGATATTATTTCCAAAATCCAATGTGCATTGTCAAAATGAAAAATGCATCAGTAGCACATTATGCCGCAACACAGAGCTTACTCGAGAAATTCAGGACTCAATAATAGTAATCGTTTTCTCTGAATGCATTATTTCAAGAAAAGAAAAAGAAATAAATCCCTCCCTTGTTCCAGTTCCCGTAAGAGGAAAGAGTCAAGTCCCCTGATCTACAGTCCATGCAACACTTAACAAAATGCAGCTAAACTGAAGACAACTGCCTGATTCCTTATATAGTTTATCACGTCTTATCAGGATCGCTTAAGCGTATGTAATGGGATAGGAGTGCGTATAAACCAATGGCCAGCATCCAATTAGAAACAGGAAATGTCATTTCTCTCGAGGTATTGACAATCGAATAAGTAACTTCCATGTCTAAATCTTGTTAGCATACACATACAGACATATATAGGGATAGAGTGATGTCAATATATACATACATAATTACATACATAGATATACACACGTGTGTCTCAGCTTTTTTCCCATTATTTTCAGGATTGCCAATGCCACTGAGAGGCCGGTGAGAATTATGTTCTGTTTCATCTTCATCTAAGCGTATCCAAAGTACAGAAACGGTCCAAATGTGCAGAAGAATAACTAATGAGAACAACGGTGAGACAGAGAAAGAGGGAAGAAGAAAAGGTCACCATGAAGCAGAAGCGTCGGAGAGGCAAAGCCGTCGATGAAGGATGAGGAGAAAAAGTGAAAGAAGGGGCAGAAGTGGTCGTCGTGAATAAGTTCCTCTGCAGTTGAATCATGCTCATGGTGCCTTCATTTGGCTCTGAAACTAATGAAGACGGTGGTGCCCCGCGCTGGCAGCGTCAAGAGGGTGGGTTCAGGCCAGTGATGAGGGTTTAAGGCCAACGGTATGGTCTCCATCCACCTTGCTTATCTCTTTCTGATAGGCCGGGCTATTGAGTCCACTGAGCCCAATGGCCCAATTAACACTGATAGCGACTTAGAATGTGAGGGATTACAAAAAAAAAAAAAACTCAGCCAGGGCCTAACATGCAGAGAAAATTCAATTACAATACCTAAATTCAAATTTATAACTTGCCATTTTTTTCCTTAAAAGGCATATTTGGAAATTCAGCATAAGTATAAAAGTTTGTCAGCATGCATTCTCCATACCAGCAAGATCATATTTTATCAAAAAAATTATTTTCGAAAACTTCAATTTACGCTGAAGGCAAGGATCGCAATCCCAACACTAATCCAAACACCAACTTTCTAGGTGCATCCTACATTATGCATTGATTAGAGATTTAAGTGTAAAATTCAAAAAATAAAAGAATAAGATGATGGGAAGTTACTATATGCGTACAAGAGTGGGAGCGTGAGAGAAAATAATAGACGGGGGGATTTCACGGTTTGTAGAGTTTTGTGAAAAATGATTGTCATGTCATTTGCCTACACGATGCTTCGGTCTTTAATATAAAAGTTAGATAATTATTTTCTAAGTATTAAAAAGATTAATTAAATTGGTAATTTATAATAAATTGATGCTATCTTTCTCAAAATGTCACTATTAATTATATGGATTAGAATAAAAACCTTTTAACATCTGTAATCACTAATCACTATGGGGATTAATTTAGGAAAAATGAATAAATATGTAAGATAACATGCATAAAGACTTATATTTGGGACTAAACTGAATTTCTAATTAACATTTTTATATTTGGTGGATTGATTGAAAGCTATTTATCGAGGGAACATGGGATAACTAAGGTACATGTTTTTTATATTTAGGGTTTCTATGTATATAATTAGATACTCCACTGATCCATAATATAAGACTTAATCAACTAATTCGAGCAGAGCAAAGATGCGAGTTAAATTATTTGATATGACATGTATAAGAATGCTAGTTAAATTATTTAATGTGATATGTTTAAGGATGCTGGTTAGATTATTTAATATGATTTTTTTTCTAAAATACTTTAAATATCTTTCTTAACTTTCTCTCTCCCTGTCTTACTTGATTATTGTTAGAATAATATCAATAAGGTTAATTTTGAAAAAAAAATTAATTAACATGCAAAACATGTCTTATATATAAGACCAATATTAACTCTCTAATTAATTCATGTATTAATGACCGGAGGAGTATTATATGATAATTCAATAGATATTAGAGTTAATACAATTTTTGGCCCTTCAAGCCTGCCTTTATTCTGGTTCTGGTCCCTCAAGTTTTAAATCATAGGTATTCGTCTCTCAGGTTTCTTTTTATTTCAAACATTGATTTATGTAACTTAATAAAAATCTGAATCAATTTGCCCTTGAGGGACAAAAATTTGTGATTTGAAATTTGAGAAATGAAAATCAAAATAAAGACAAATTTAAAAAATAAAAAATTATATTAACATTAGATATTATGAAACACGCGCACAAGTCGTGAATGAAATTAGGAAAACTTGTGAACAGTTTTGATTCCAAATGTTCTGTCAGTTACAGAGTTGGTATTTTAGGGGGTGTTTGTCTAACTTCAAAAGTGCTTTTGAAAAGCATTTTTTCACAAATAAAAACAAATTCCTCTATATATTTACTTCATATGTCATAAAAATACTTTTAAAATCATGATTTTGTATCTATTAAACATTTTTTCTAGTTGTTGTGGCTAAGGACCAGCCTGTGTCATAACCTCCGCTAATCACCTAGCTGACATAAGAACATGTGTCTAGCGTCTATGGCCATACCATGGCACGTTGGACTTCAAGGAAGGAAATGGCATGAGAATTGCTCCATCCTGGACATCAAGCAATTTTTAACCATAATTTATAAAATATCATGTTATAAATATATGAGGAAAATTTTGTCATGAGTTACGCAAACGTAAACACTTAATATAAATAGTTTCAAACAAGCTTACCACATAAGTTTTTCTTGAGCCACATAAGCTAAAATTAACAACATTTAGGCTTATTTTGTTTTTGGAAATATAGATACTTTTCCTATTCTTTTTTCTAAAATTAATCTTATTGATATTTTCCAAACGACAATCAAATATAAGAAAAAAAGAGAAAATTAAGAAAGATGCTTATAGTATCTTAGAAAAATCATATCATATTAACTAATTTAACTAATATTTTTATTTTACTTAAATTAATTAATTATGCCTTATCTTAAAGATAGAAAAAGTATTTGTTTCGAAAAATCGTAAAAAAAGACTGTCAACATAGAAAAATCACAAATAAGGACCTATTACAATATTAGAATGTGTTTTAATAATAATAGTATGGGTTTTTATAACAATTTTTGTGAATTAGTCTTTGTGGGTAATTTTTTAATTTTAACAGTCCCTTTTTGTGATTTTCCCTATTTGTTTTTGAAATATACTACCTCTTATCCTAATTATAAGAGCCAATTGACTAATTTCAGGAAATTAAGAAAAGAAGTTAAGTTAGTTATTTGTAATAAATAGATGTTGTCTTTCTTAAAATATCCTTACTAATCAAGTATGTTAGTTTAAATTATAATTATTAGAAGTACTACCTTGAAAAAAATTGAGTAAATATAAGAGACAAAATAGATTGGAGTTTTATATTTAAACAAATATAAAAATTAAATAGGGTTTTATATTAAATATCGGAGGCAGTATCATAAAATGTAAAAGAAATATTCTTAATCGGTTAAGGGGAAAAACAACTAAACAAGCACCCGAAAACAAAACAGGTCTCACTTTTCACAGCTCACCACTCACGAGAGTATTCGCCCGTCTTGCACGGAAATAGGGGAGCGAGCGTGAGCGCGCGAGCGGCAAATGCCACTGTTACGATGGCGATAGCTACAGGCCACAGCGATTCTAACGGCACCTGTTTTGGTTTTTTTTTTTTTGGAGCACCTTTTTATTTCTTGTCATTTTTCTATTATGCAACCTCCTTTGTCAAAGTCTGCTTTCTCCTAACTTCACTTCACACTCTTCTTACTATATCCTCCCTCCTTCCACGCCCGTAATTCAGTTACATGCACAACCTGCCCTGATCTGCTCAGATATTCGATTTTTGCTCTCGCTTCTTCCTTTTTTCAATCTTCACGACAATCATGTAAACTTGAGGTTTTAGCGACCGGGTACTGCCTTCAAATCATATTTCTATTTTTTTTTTGGGGTGCGTTCTTTATTCTCGATAAGGGTTTTAGATTTGATGCCCGAACCTGATTTCGATTGACTTGTGGAGATTTGGGCTTTATGTAATTTAATCTTCGCCTGTCGAGTTTTCGTCTTTCTTTCCGTGAGGTCGAATTGGAGTTTTGTTGTATATTACATCCCATTGATTTTTTGTTCTTGTTCCCGTAATGGATTAAATGAGTTGGATTTGTTTTAATTTCCAGGGCTTTACTTGCTATTGACCTGGCCTTCTAGTGGTCATTGTTCATCAGATCTCGGTGCCATCATTGGATATGGACAGCCGTAGCGACGCAGAAACGAGTTCATTTTTGAGGTTTTCAACATGCGCCTCATTGATTGTTTGACTTGATATCAAGTGCGCTTATATTCTTATCGGCCTCTCTCAAAAGAACAACCTAATTAATGTATTCGTGGAAAAAATTTATGGCATTGTAACGCACAAGCTGCTCTATTGTCTGCTTTGGTAAATTCCAATGAGAGTGTGTGTACCGCCTCTTCTAAATGTTCGAGTTGGTAAACAATAATCTTCCCTCTAACGAAATTGATGAAGGTTAAAAGAAGATAAAAAATTTTTCTATGTTGACGTTGAGACTTAAGTCCTTTGATTCACCAAGAAGGCCATTTAGAATATCAACTTGTACTGCAGTATAAAAACGATAGATGCAGCTTCATATAACCATCCTTTTGTTTCCTCACAGTTTGTTTGCAGCTGTATCATATGGATTTGCCTCAATGGCCATGGTTTTTATCAACAAGGCTATCGTCATGCAGTATGCGCACTCAATGACTCTACTCACTATGCAGGTATTACAAGTTAAAAGAAACACAGCCAAGACTATTAATATTCAGCTAACTGCTTTGATTTATTGTTGACTTATGTTGGACAGTATCTGTTTTTCTCAGCAACTGGCTACGGCCATACTTGTACACTTTGGTCGTGGCACGGGATACACAAAAGCAAGGGGAATAGATCTGACAATGGCCAAGAAACTTCTCCCAGTTTCTCTTTTCTATAATGCAAATGTTGCTTTTGCACTGGCAAGTTTGAAAGGAGTTAATATTCCAATGTATATTGCGATAAAGAGACTGACACCTCTTGCTGTGCTCGTTGCTGGATGTTTCACGGGAAAGAGAAGACCCACAACACAGGTTTTCCTTCTTTTAAAAAAAAAAAAAAAAGCTTATTGAGAACAAGGCTTCGTGTATAATTAACTATTATCTAGTATAGACGTTATCATCTTATTTCTGCGAGGGGCAAGAGATGAACCAGGATAGGAAATATTGTGAAAACAATTAAGCAAAAAGAGAGAATTAAATGGGAAGGAGGAGAAAAGAAGAGGGAAAGTTCTTCACATTTATTTCCTTCTAATCATATCGTTTTAATGGTCCAAATTCGGAAGTTCAGTTAGGAAGGTGTAACTGGATTTGCCATGTATGTCAAAAGCTGCACAAAGCGAAGGGGTGGGGGAGAGGAGAATTATGTTGTTGTAAATGATGTTCATGATAAACTTGGTGGACTAAGCATTTGGGAAAAGTGGTTTCTCAAAATACTGCGCAATACATACTGATAAACAAGGGTTTATCGTTAAATTTTCTCTTCGAATATTTATTCCCTTTTTTCTCGTAAACAAAGTTGCAAAGCTGAACGCTTTTCATTGATTCTTATAATTAAATAGTCTGTTATATTAGTGCTCATGGCAAGTTTTCATCATATTCAAATACTTTTTGGAGAATTTGGGATGGTTCATGTATGAGAAATAGTAAAATATATCAATCAGCTAGGCTGAACAAAGATCAACCAGGCTCTATATAAAAGTATCTATAGCTTTCCGGAGAATAATTGATAGCAGAGCTTCAATGAAAAGAGAATTTTTCATTAAGAAGTTCTGATCCTCTCGTGGTTTATACAACATTGAAGTCTGAAAGGGGACCTTATTCTACAGTGTACCAACTCGGTGGTATACCTGCTTTCTTGTACTTGACGTGAGAACTATAATTGAACTAAGACTTGTTACCCTAAGTGCATACTACCAGAATTTCTAGAGCTGAATAAATGGTCTATGATGTTAAGTCTGCTGTCACTAGTATGTAACATGTAAAATAGCTGCTGCAGAACGTTAATGCAAAAGTCAGTTGTATAAATAATGTTTGCAGTTTTTTTTCATGTGACTACCAACTTTGATGGGTTTAGCTCTTAACTATGCAGTGATACATTCTGTCTAATTTCAGGTGACTCTTTCAGTAATATTGATTGCTGCAGGGGTTCTCATAGCTGCCCTTGGAGATTTTTCCTTTGACCTTTTTGGATATAGCTTGGCTTGCTTTTCTGTGTTTTTCCAGGTGAAACTCTAATGTTTGAATTTATGGTGGACACTGCCTCTAGTTGTTCTTGGTTTGCTCAGAGATTACTTGCTCATGCAGACCATGTACCTTGTACTGGTGGAGAGATCTGGTGCTGAGGATGGGCTTTCATCAGTAGAAATCATGTTTTATAACAGCTTCTTATCTCTTCCCTTTTTGATGTTTCTCATTATAGCTACTGGAGAATTCCCAGATTCTTTATCCGTATTACTTGCAAAGGTGAAGTCTTTAACCTGGTTGTTTTTATTGCAATTCTGTTGGAGTTGCAATATGGGATGATTTGTGACATAGCATGGACCTAAGGCTAGCAGTATTGATGCTTAAGATGATATCTAACGTAAACTTCATTCTTCTTGCAGTGTTCTTCTCTATCATTTATAGTCATCCTTATTCTCTCGTTGGTGATGGGCATTGCTCTGAACTACACCATGTTCTTGTGTACCGTTGTTAATTCAGCTCTAACTACAACTATTGTTGGTGTCCTTAAAGGGGTTGGTTCCACTGTAAGTTTGAACTATCTCAAGAATGTGTCATTTTTTTCATTTATAACTTACTACGCGGCACTAAAGTTTGATTTTGGAATGACTCTCTGAATCTTGTTGCATATCCAATCTTCCAGCATCTTCTTTTCTTCATAATATATTAGAGCGAATGAATTCCCTTTCTAATATTTTATCTATATTTTAACATGCAAACATTGAATCTGCCTCCCATTGCTTCTCCAGACACTTGGTTTTGTGTTGCTTGGTGGCGTTCAAGTCCATGCTTTGAATGTGACTGGATTGGTTATCAATACAGCTGGTGGTGTGTGGTATTCCTATGCTAAATATATGCAAAAAATGAACAAGACCACAAAGCTAGCCGTAACGGTGGATGAGGCACATCGAAAATAGAAGTGGCATTGATGGGTTGAGGCTATTACTAACAGTTCCACTGTCTTTATTTCTCTGATTTTCCCCGAAATTGTAAACTCCGGTGGTTGTTTTCTTCTCTGTTTGATTTGACAGTAGTCACGGTTGCACGTGGTGAGAGTATGCTCCTTGAAGTTACAGTTACATTGAATGTGCAGTTTGAATGATAAGAGATTTATAGATCTTTCCTTAAAATGAAGAACTGTGAAAGGAGATGAAGGATGTTTTGATTTTTGAACATGACGCCATGACAGTGCTCCTGAGCGGAGAAAGTAAGGAAAATATGAAGATCTAATCAAAATATTGTATACAATTTGTTCATACTTTTATTTATTTTCATAATACTACCTCCAGTCCTTAATATAAGATCCTATTTAATTTTTATTTTGGTTTTAAATATAAGACCCCAATCCATTTTGTATATCATGTTTATATTTTTTTTTTCAAAGTAATCCTTCTAATAATGATAGTTCTAATTAATACACTTGATTAGTAAGAATATTTTAGAAAAGATAATATGTATTTAGGACAAATAATTAACTCAACTTACTTTTTTAATCTCTTCAAATTAGTTAACTGGTTCTTATAATTAGGATCGGAGATAGTATATCAGTAATAATACTACTTTCGATCCTTAATATAAGATCCTATTTGACTTTTATTTTGGTTCTAAGTATAAGGTCCTAATCTGCTTTGTCTCTCATATTTATTTAATTTTTTTTAAGATAATTCTTCTAATAATTATAGTTCTAGTTAATACACTTGATTAGTAAGGATATTTTAGAAAAGACAATACCTATTTAGGACAAATAATTAACTCAAATTATTTTTTTAATCTCTTCAAATTAGTTAACTGATCGGAGGTAGTATAATAAACGTATAATTTGTATCTGAAGATATCTGATAAAAGCCATTTCCGAGGATGAAAATAGTGCTGTTCATCTGTCTCTTCCCGCATCACATGCGTGGACACATTTTATTAGACATGGGCTTGGCATTAACGAGGTGCATCTGGGTTGTGGGTATTGTGGACCAGGAATGCGTCCCCTAGAACATCACCGTATTGATCAAGAAGTACTTTTAAGTTTTTTTTCCTTCATAAATTGAAATAAATTTTTTTACATATTTATTTCATATATTATAAAAGTATTTTTAAAATTATAATTTTATTTTTATCCAAACACTACTTACATGTAAATAGGCATGACGTTGACATGATAATTGATATATCCTCCACCTGATGCATTGTCTGGTGGTTTTCTCGAAAGCCAAAGCCGGCTGTGTCTACTCTGTTTTTCCTTTTCTGATTCCAAGAAATGGATCTATGGAAAGCCACAGCAGATCAAATGGAGAAGGTCGCTGCGTAGTTCTTGTTCTGCAGAATACCCATGCATCCTCCTCTTCCAATCTTAGTAGTTACTGCAACTATCAAAGGACGGAAAGGCGAAACGAAAAAGAGTTTCAATGTCTTGTACCTCAACGAGTCCCCTCTTTATTCTTTTTGAGAGGACAAGAGGAGGTGCCCTTTTTCTTTACCTTTTTTTTTTCCTTCTTAAAATAAAGTTCTGTATGACAAAACTTACACAAAAGCAGAGAGTATTAGACTTGTTCATCCAAGTCCACTCATCTCTTAAACCCAAAAAGAGGGTTACTAGAGTACAAAATATTACTCCTTCCATTCATTTTGTTTTGTACCATATCATGTTAACTATTTTCATGAAATTAACAAAATTAGTTAAAGTTACCTAAATGAATAATTGACCTTACAAAGCAAAGAACCGTGCCTCACAGCTAGTCCCAAGCACCTAACGACTTCTTTTCTTTTCTTTTTTCGGGAGATAAAGTTTGCATGGACATTGGTGAACCCGGCAAGCTGGCAAATTAATGGATTGGAACAGAATAATATATTGGTCCACACATGCTACCTTGATTTCATTTATAACTGTAGGCCTTGCCTGCGTGGCTCTTTTCACGTATTCCAATCCTCTGGCTGTCAGCCGTTTGGTTGAACTATTTTCTCCCTTCCTTCTTTTTGTCAATCGTTTATGTCAATCCTCCGGCAAATTCGCTGGGACAGAGGAGCTATATGTACGATGTCCGAGTTTTTATTGTTTTTGCTGAAACTACTCCTCCGGTCCTTAATATAAGATCCATTTAACTAATTTGATTAGATTAAGGAAGTTAGGTAAGTTAGTTAATTATAAGAAATGTGACACATTTTTCCTAAAATACCATAATCATATTTCTTAATACCCCATCTTCCTCTTCTACTTGATTATGGTTGAAGGAGTATCCAAAGGGGTAATTTAGAGAAAATTGACAAATATGAGAAATGGGTCTTATATTTAGGACCAAAACCAACTCAACAATTGGGTCTTATATTAAGGACCGGAGGAGTATTAATTTACTTATTAGATCTGATTTATTTTAGAGATATCGTTGATCAGGCTAGAATGATTTTGTACAAAAACTCGAATGTTTCCAATTTAAACCTCATGTGTGCTAATTTTGTGCCTATTTCTTGGTTATACATGCGGAGGATTGGTAGACAGTTTTAGAACTCTCTGATCAATCACCGACTCACTGTGTTAAGGTCGTAGCCGGTACAAGGAGACTGTCTTAGGTTGTTTGTATGTTTTGTAATCTTATTCTATCGATGAATACGCGTTTTCATTGAAAAAAAAAAAACTCAGTTTTGTTATGTTTTCTATTATATTTTTTTGTATTTTTTTCATGTTTCAATTTGACTGATGACTTTTCTAGCATATCAATACATGTACCTCAGTGAAATGGATGAATTCGAAATTCTGAGTGATGTTGACAAAATTTGATGTCAAGGTCTCATGTGTGACCAGGGAGGCTCATTTGTGAGCCATATGAGACCCTCCTACCATACGATGCGAGACATTTTTATTTAAATTACTACCTCAGATCTTTAATATAAAAATTTGCCTAATTTTTATTTTGGTCCTAAATATAGGATTTCAATTTATTTTATCTCTCATATTTATTTATTTTTTTTAAGACAGTTTTTGTAATAATGGTAGTTTTAGTAATACACATTATTAGCAAAAATATTTTAAGAAAAATAATATCTATTTATTATAAATAACTAATATAAATAATTTTCTTAATCTACTCAAGTTAATTAACTAACTTTTATATTAAAGACTAAGAATAGTATAAATTAAACTATTAATAGTCACAATTATAATAACTAGTGATGTGATAATAACCGAAAATGTAAAGAGGGTGGACGTTTTGAGGCTCATGAAAAAACAGAACGAAGAAGAATGCGGCCGGTCATCTTTGTCTGGTGTCACTCGTCATAATTAACTGCAAGGAAGGATAAAATAAAAAAACGATATAAATATTTTCACCATATCTATCTTATATATTTTGGACCAAGCAAAATTGAAAGAAAATAACTCACATTGTGGAGTGGAATAATAACTATCAAATAATACTTACCCAAGTATATTTGATATTTTTGGAACTAATTCTATTGTGGGTATAATCACTTTACGTCTAATTTCCTCTGGGGAAAAAGCTTTTACTATGTTATCAAAAAAAAAAAAAAGAAGAAGCTTTCACTACGTTTTCTACTATTCTTCTTCTCTTGAAACATTTGATGAAATATTAATACTGAAAAAAAAAGAAGTGAGGAGCACGTGGAAGAATGTAGAAAGTGAAGGCTGCAAAGAAGATGAAAATGGGTGAAGAACATCTGAGCGTCCGAGTCAAAGTCAATATAGAGAGGAATTTTCTCTTCTTTTTTTTTTGGGAGGGGGGGGGGTTGTTTGGCCACAAGAAAAAGGAAACTTACTTGTAAATTGTGCTCAACGTTTGGCCCAAAAAAAAAAGTGAGTAACGATCTGGTACTTTGTTTCTTTCCCTTGAAAAGAAACTTATCTCTTTTCATGGCATGTTCGTACCTTTTTTTTTTTTCTGTGCCCGCATTTTCTCTGTTTATACCTTAATTAGAAGACTCCATTTTTAATTTATAAATAAGTTCTTATAATTAAAATTAAAAGTAGTATTTTTATTTAGTAAGTTTATTTCCTTGAACAATAATCATTACTGAGAATGCATATTTGAGATGCTGGACGATAATAGATTCGGAGCAGAATTAGCCAATTAGACAAGACTTCGGCTTCTTTTGCAGGGCCTATTAGCATGCTGTTTCGTTTCCCCTCCTCCTCCTCTCTCGTTTGTAGTCAATAGACTTCGAACAGTTCAGTCAAATGTGAAAGGAATGTCAAAGAAACAAAATACGTTGTCGTCAAATCAAATCCTCAAAAGATGATGCTTCACCTCCTGAAATTAACAATATGATGTTTGTTTGAAAGCTTTTTATAGCTTCTCGACGATAATCAAAGTCAGGGTAGGAATTAAAAATAAAAAAATCGTACACAGGTGTTAAGGCTAATCAGTTAAGTTGTTGGGCAGAAGTAAAAAAGACTGGTTAGTGAAGTTATGGTTCAGTTGGAAGAATCTGTATCTCCAAATGGAATCGTAACTTCACTTAACTAACAAGTCCTGGCAGCTTCCAATTTGCTTTGACAATAAACAGTAATGGGTAATGATGCCCAAAAAAAAAAAAGAGTGATAAGGAATAAATTAAGATTTTCAATTTTAAAAATGAAATCATATTTACATTGTCAGTGTATAATAATATGATTCCTCTAGAGCGCGCATCCATCCTTACAATCATCCAAAGGTTGTGAATCTAGAACCCTGGCTGTCCGTTTCAAACAATGATCGAATTGAGCTGCCTGCAATGGGCTTTGTCGGTGACGTTCTCTTTTCTTTTGTTATTTCTGTTAAACTTAGTATGCCTCATATATGAATTTAACTACAGAGTAATTTGAGAAAAATAGTAAATATAGGAACAAACGTGACTGAAATACCAAACAAATCCTCAATTTAACTTTTAATATTTAGAATCCGAGAGAGTAAAAAAAAAATTCCCCATAACTCCTTTTATAAGCCGTGCAAATTGTAGGCGCATAAGTACATAAATAGTTAATATTTATAAACAGACTTAAGTCGGCCAACCAAATGGGCATCCCGTTTGTCAAAGGCCTTGATCAGGATATATCAAACCAAACTAAAAAAAAGGTTTCTTTTTTAGGCATTTGTCAACTACTTCTGGGCTACTAACCACAGTTCTTTAGAGGGACATTTCTTAATTAATCCCTTAAAGTCCTGATCATTCTGGGAGATTCTTTGTGCACAGTAATATTCCTGGAGAGTCGGATGAAAAATAAAGGAACCAACTTGCTGTTAGAGGTCTCATTCTTACAGCTGCGGATACCTTCCCTCATAATGTGGCTTTCTGATGTTAGGTGCCTTCTTCACGCTCCAAAAGGACCTACATTTTGTTAAATGCTGAGCCTTCAAGATGGTCCTTCTGATATTCGTGGAAGCAACTCCTTTTCATGAGTGTTTTTCCCATTTTCGTTGGCTTCAGATCTGGGTCTACAAAATGAGTATATACTTCAATAGTTGTGTTCTCTCTGTGTGAATATATGACTCACTGAAGAAAATGGTTCCAAGATTGGATTTTTCTTCCTGGTGGACGAAGGAAACCCAGAAAGGAACGCCTGTGGTAGTGAAAATGGAGAATCCCAGTTTCTCTGTGGTAGAGATTAATGGTGCTGACCCTGCGTTTCAACCAATAGAGAAAAGCAGAGGCAAGAATGCCAGGCAAGTGACTTGGGTTTTGCTTCTCAAGGCTCGTCGTGCTGTAGGTTGTGTCACATGGCTTGTTCATGTTCTGAGGGCATTCACTGGTGGTATTAAGAAGAGGGTGATTCACAGGCAAGGAGTGGATGTGGAGAGTGATAAGCTGGTAAAGGGGAGGTTACTATTTAGGATCATTAGGGTGTTCTTAGTGGCATCCTTGGTGATTCTGGCTTTTGAGGTTCTTGCTTACTTCCAAGGATGGCATTTTCGAAATCCCAGATTGCACATTCCTCGGACCTCGGATTTGGAAGGGTTGCTCCATGTGGTTTATGCTGCGTGGTTAACATTTCGTGCTGAGTACATTGCTCCCCCCTTACAGGCACTTTCAAGGTTTTGTGTTGTTCTATTTCTTATCCAATCCGTGGATCGTATGCTGCTTTGCTTGGGCTGCTTTTGGATTAGATACAAGAAGATAAAGCCAAGGATTGATGAGGATGCTTTCAGAATTGATGATACTGAAGGATCTACATGTGATTATCCCATGGTTCTTGTCCAAATTCCTATGTGTAACGAAAGGGAGGTAAAACATAATTTACCTTACTTGCAGTGTTTTAAAAATTAGAAGAATTCATGTTACAATCGTATAGGAAAAAGAGGAGGGTGATAATTATTTGTACAGGCAGCTGCATTTTTTGTTTGCACGGATATTGCCATCTAGAGAGAAACATTGTAATTGAAAGATCATAAGTTTCTTAAATGTTATTATTTGAATCTTTAATGATCAGAAGCATAGATTATTTCCTTAGGTCCTGACTAAACAACTAGAATGATCCCTTCCTTTTTGTCAGTTTTGGAAATAAACAACCCTTCCTTGATAAAGACAGGATTCTATCCTTCCTGTGAAAGCTTGTTGATCTGTTAATCAATCTGAAGTAACATATCAAGATCACTGGATAGAAGTTTGATGTTTCGGTTTCTGGACTTTCTGAGCTCTTGCAGGTGTATGAACAGTCTATTTCTGCAGTCTGCCAAATTAATTGGCCAAGGGACAGCCTACTGATTCAGGTTCTTGATGATTCTGATGATGAGAGCATACAGTGGTTAATCAAGGATGAGGTCGCTAAGTGGAGCCAAAAAGGAATCAACATAATCTATAGGCATCGCTTAGTGAGGAAAGGTTATAAAGCTGGCAATCTCAAGTCTGCAATGAGCTGTGACTATGTGAAGGATTATGAATTTGTTGCAATTTTTGATGCGGATTTCCAACCAAATCCTGATTTTCTCAAACAAACTCTGCCATATTTCAAGGTTTAAAAAGAGAACATCCAGCATTTTCAGCAAGTATTTTTATTCATTGAAGTGTGTTCAGCTTATTTTACTCCGTGTGCGCCCTTGTTTTATTACAGAACAATCCCGAACTAGGTTTGGTCCAAGCTAGATGGGCTTTTGTGAACAAGGACGAGAACTTGTTGACTCGGCTCCAGAATATTAACTTATCCTTCCATTTTGAGGTGGAGCAGCAAGTCAATGGGATATTTCTTAACTTTTTTGGTTTCAATGGAACTGCTGGTGTTTGGAGAATCAAAGCTCTAGAGGAGTCTGGAGGCTGGCTTGAGAGGACCACGGTAGAAGATATGGACATTGCTGTACGAGCTCATCTCAATGGTTGGAAATTCATCTTCCTGAATGATGTCAAGGTGGTAATGATCACCTTCTCTTAATGAGCATGTTACTATATATCTGAATGATTCTTGTGTAGCATGAAATGACTAGTTATCTTACAACTGTGTGATCTTCACTTTAAAAATTCCTTCGAAATTTTCAGGTACTTTGTGAAGTTCCTGAGTCCTATGAAGCTTATAGGAAGCAGCAACACCGCTGGCATTCTGGCCCTATGCAACTTTTTAGGTTGTGTCTGCCAGCAATTTTTAGAGCTAAGGTATATCTCACACTCTTAAAGTGATAGAAAAGAAAAATACAAAGGAGGAAAAGTCCTTAGGACTCGCAAGTATTGTTTAATAATTTGTTTATAACGCGCACTGCCTCAAGAGCCGTAACTTCACTACTGCAGGTATCAGCATGGAAAAAAGCAAACTTAATACTATTATTCTTCCTGCTGAGGAAACTCATTCTTCCTTTTTACTCCTTCACCTTATTTTGCATAATTCTCCCTCTAACCATGTTTGTCCCAGAGGCAGAACTTCCTCTTTGGGTGATCTGCTATGTGCCTGTATTTATGTCTTTCCTCAACATTCTTCCAGCCCCAAAATCTTTCCCTTTCATTGTCCCCTATCTCCTTTTCGAAAACACCATGTCTGTCACTAAATTCAATGCAATGGTTTCTGGACTCTTCCAACTGGGTAGCTCTTATGAATGGATTGTCACCAAGAAGGCTGGGAGGTTATCTGAGTCTGATCTACTGGCTGCTGCTGATACTGAAGCGAAATTGATGCAACAAATAACAAGCTGTAAAAGCTCTTCTGAGTGTGAACTCGGCGAATCAAACGAAATTAAGGATCAAAAAGATGCAGCAGTGCCTGTTAAGAAAGCTAATAAGATATATGTAAAAGAGCTGACTTTGGCATTCCTTCTTCTCACAGCTTCAGTTAGGAGTCTTTTATCTGCACAAGGAGTTCATTTTTACTTTTTACTCTTTCAAGGGGTTACCTTCCTCCTTGTGGGCCTTGATCTAATTGGAGAGCAAATGAGCTAAGTTTTGATTTATTACACATACCTCCTTATACAGAGCCATATTGCATTCTAGAAGCAGGACACTGCATGCAGTGGATGAGATTATACTTTTCGTCTTCTCATGTTTGTGGTAAATTATTACCGTCCTTCTGGACGAAAGAACACAGCAAATACTCTTATTTGCACAATTCATCCCCAGAATTGTAGGGCATTGGTCATAGGCTCTTTCATGGGTATTGAATTCTTCTTGTTGCTGGGAGCTGCAAAATTTTATGGTCCCTTCCTTGTTCTTTAGTCAATATCTGTTCTTGAAATTCAGGTAATCTGTTATTACCATTCCAGAGACAAGTGGAGTGGTGATACTTCTTTTGAAATATATTGCCTTCCATTTTTTCAATGATGAATGGGACAGGTCAAACATCCTTCTGTAAATGAATTCTGTTTATCTAATATAAATTTCATTTGCTTGGTCCTCTATCTAAAGGAGGCTTGATCTTTGATTATGTTATGCCCCTCTTGTGGAGTCACGGTCCTAAATCTGATTTTGGGTTCCCAGCAATCTTAACTTGAAACTTCAAATGTGTTTTGCGGGGTTTGAATGTAAGAAATACGTAACTGATAATACAAATGAAATAATATATTTAATAATGCACGTTAAAGAACCAGGTGGATGAATATGATTAAGTAACGAATTTTCATGGCTTAAAACTTCTGGTATAGGATCTTCCAATTGGTTGTTGGATGCAGCAGACACTATACTCCAAATCTAAAACCCATTAACCCATTTCCGCCCGTCACAATAATCCATATGCGCAGGTATCTTGAACGGCATGCATTATTTAAGATTTGCGTAATTGAGTTGTGATTGTAAAAAAAAATAATGCCTTTTAAGGGAGCTGCCCATCCCTCATTCTACTTATGAATCATGATTTTGTAGCCAAGAAGATCGTTTTTCTTTTTAGTGGAAACCAGACAGAATTCCTTAGCTGATAGCTAAAAACTAATATTCCTGAGACATTCGAATCCGACAGCTAGAAACTAATATTCCTGAGATATTCGAATCCAAAACATCATATTTAAGAAACTCAATCATCTACCAATTATACCAGATTTTGTGGGTTAAGGTTCATGTTTTTTTTTTTATTTGATACATTGCCCATGCATTAGATTAGCGGAGAGTTTATTTCTATTTTATTTTAGCACACTAAGCACGTGTGTATATTTATGTAACAAGCGAATGTTACAACATAATAGTCACTACAAGATATTTTTGTCCCCGACTAGCCCCCCCAAAACTACCTAGATATGGAATCAAAATCTACATATTCCTCCATTTCTAAATATAAAAACTATTTTATAATGAAATTTATACTATAAAATAAGTTTTATATCTAGAACCGGAAAGACATCACACCAAAATGAAATAAATAAAAAGGGGATAATCTGAGACGAAAACAGATCACAGATCATTGTTAATTGCGTAATCTGAACAATGTCCCATTCATCTCAAACGGAAAAACCAGTCGTAGTTCCTAACTTACAGGCGGCGTCCCATGCATGATGAATCAAATCAAAAAACCAAATTTTGACGGTAACATCATCCCACAGAGAACCACAACTGGAATTAGTAAAGCAAACAGACGCCCCTCTCTCTTGATCAGCAAAAGATCTTCAAGCAATATCATCGTACCTTAGCATAGTTACCAACTGGTCACCAAACGTCAGGCAACCACAACAATCAAATCCAAGACCACGTAGTTCAGAGGGTTGGGGCAGAGAACCTTCAATATCTGACGGTTAGACCTTTGTGCCTGAACAGTACAGCTGCTTCGCTATGCAGTTCCAAACTATGCATTTTAGACGTCAAAAGACAAGTCCAAAAAATCAAAGGTCGACGGGGTTCCTTCTTTAATTTCTTTCTTTCTTTTTTGGGAATAATGACTGGATGGCGTTGAATGCTTCAGAAAATAACAGTAATTCTGCTTAATCTACTATGCATGTAACTCTTGAATCCCAGCTAAACTTTATTTTCAACCCAGATTTTCTCAACCATTTAGATTTCTTTTCGCATGGGGCAGAAGCCCAAAACCCGCTTCAGTAGAACATGAGTACCAGCCAGAAGTATTTGATTTGATGCAGCCCGTCAACCCTTTCCAATATTAATTGAAACTGTTCAGAGCTTTTGGTGCGCACATCACAAGTGGGGAGAGCGAGAGAGATTAAATGAAACAGAAGCGAAGTAGCCAGCTGGGACCCCCAACCATTCAAAACTTGAAGAGAAGGGCAGACAAGAATTACATCCCATTGAATGCAGACGCATAAAACCAATGTGGCAGTACCAGAAGAGACCTCAGCACAAAAAGGACATGGAACTTTTCTCAACACATGATAAACAATTTCCTTGAAAGGACACTTTTACCTGTAAGGAAATAACTACAAGTATGCTGCACAGATAATAGAACATAAGCTAGGAAATTCAAATTAATCCAATGTAAGACCAGAAGCACAGGGCTTTGCCTGATTAAACAAACTCATACTGCAATCTAAGCACACTAGATCAACAAAATCTCCCTATCCTCTTTTACCATGGGAACCCCAAACTCTCAAAAATCAGCTTCTACTGCGGTGCCGTTCCCTTAGACCATTTCTACATATCATTCAGCCACGCATGTCAGTACAAATACAAGAACAATTCATACCATGCTACTGTTAATAAAACAGATCCTGCTAAGTCATGAGGCCTAGCTAACAGACCTTGAAAGGCCAACAAGATACCATACATACAATAACCTCAAATCCTAAATCAGTAATGAGGGAGAAAACAATATGATTAAACATCTAGCAGATAGGATAAAAAAAACATATGTTGCCTGTGAGAGAGGAATTGAGAAGTGTAAAGCAGGGAGTTAGAAAGTCCAGAGAGAAGTAGCCTAACCCATTTGTATATGGTAGCTCCTCAGGTCCATGGTAAGGAGGTGACCTACTATAGCTGCGTCCACGAGGTGACAAACTGCGTCGCCTAGGGGACCGATCCCCACGAGGACTGTAACTCCTGCTTCATATCAACGAAACGGCAAAGATCGCTCTTAACAAATATTTAACACTTCATGCATATAATGAAGAACCATCATCATCATCGAGTTTAACCACAACCAATCTTTTCCTTCTTATTCTAATATACACAGCCAAATTGCTTTATCCATATGATGAATGACAACGGGGTTTTGGAATTTAAAAAGCAATTTACCATTCGGTTTCTCTGACTTGCTCCAAAATACAGGTAGGACAAATATCAAGCTACAATGCACAATCATAAGAAGTAGCACAAATATCAAGCTACAATGCACAATCATAAGAAAACAAGTACACGACCACTACTTCTCATGTATTTTGATTCTTCAGGGGAAAAAAAGGTGTCTTGCCTAACAATAATGGCAATAGGATTAAGGTATGGGAATCAATCTGACCTGCGCCCATAACTTGGGCTCCTGCGGTATCTCGGCGGACTGCGGCTACGTCGTCTTCCTGCACCACCACGCGTACGACATTCGCGAGCGAAATGACCAGGCTCACCACACTCATAACATTTCAAATCAGAGCCACCAGAGCGACCACGACCACGACCACCTCCACCACCACTGCCAACTCTTGAGTTGTGAGAAAGCTCCACCCTCCAACCATTCTTACCTGCTCCAAACAACAAATATGAAAAGGAAATATTGCCATGAAATGCTTCTCCAGAGTTCAGCTGACCACTTAACTAGAATGATTGATCATCAACTGAAGCACATATTATTCAAGAATTCTTAGATAAATAGGCAGCATTTCAACCATGTTTCTTTTAGCTTCTAACATACCATCTAATTCACGAATGGCATCCTGTGCATCTCTGCGGTCATCAAAATCAATGAAGGCATAACCAGGCGGTCTCCGCGCAACCCAGACACTACACACAATATTTTGGCGGGAAAAATGAAAAGAAAAAAAAGTATAGATTGTTATCCAAATACGCATAAAGTAAATATTATGAAGTCTCCGTTCACTGAAAGATATCAAATTGCTATCAAACAGTAACTGCGATAACATGCTTAATGAAGCACATGATCAAATACATAATATCCGATTGCAAACAGTCTCGAGAAGACTACTAACCATTACATACGACACGTTACCGCCCCGGACACCATAGTTGAATCTTAATATTCGTTTTATATTTCTAGAACATGGAAATAACTTGCAATATAATTAGTAGTTAGCATTTTTTTTTCCATCCCGCTACCTCCGTATAACTCCAAATACACGAAATTCATCTTCAAGCTCTCTCTCAGTAACTCTGGAATCCAAGTTACCAACATAAACACGGGTCATCGTTTCAGTGTTTTGATGAAACCTGCCAGTAAGAGACAATACAATTAAACCAATTTGACAGAGAAACTCGAGAAAATTCTGCAACCAAAAAAGCCTCGATCAACTCCATCAAAATCGACCTTATGAAGGAGAATGATCGTCAACTGGACAGAAAAGAAGAGAGATCTAAACCTGATGTTAAGAACCGCGAAAAAGGAAAACTTAAAAAACCGCCGGCGGCCGCACCGTTTGCTCTTCGATTCTTTTGAGTGTGGCATTTATTTTAAACTCGGCTCCTCCAAATTTAATGCTCATGGGCTTTGCGTAATGACCAAATCTTGGTTGCACTTCGAGCTCGGCCTTTGGGCTATGCAAAAGGCCTTCCTTTATTAATTGATACTTTTGCCAACTGTCGTTGAAATATTAATTCCTGATCGACTGATTTACTAATCTTCTAATTCATATGGAAATTTGACTTTCCTTATATATAAATTGCAGGAGCAGGGATTGTAAAATTGTCCTGATGACAACATTGACCTTGGTTTTTAACCAAAACAGCTAAACTTTCCAGCATCATTAAAGGCATCAACCTTTGTTGGAATGAAAAATACCTCGGAGTGCATATTTACTACAACTCTTCTAAAACGACGATTCTTACCTGCAACAAACTTTCATAGAATCACCTTCTCACTAATTCTATTAAGAACATAAGGGATCTCATCATGCAAGAACATCTCTTTGTGCCATGTTCTTCGAAAAAATCAATAAATAGATGGATTGAGTTTCAAACAAGTCAGAGTTAGGAAGTGAGTCATCCTGTATCATAATTGAGGAACTCAAGTTAATCAAAATTTTAAGGACTAAAAAACTATTTTTTTCCCGTAAAGAACATCAAAGCAGGCTGACGCTAGAGCACTGGACGATCTCTTTTAACGGCGGGAAAAGTTACAACACAGCTCTGTGAAGAGCAGGGTACGTTAGTCCCATGATGGTGACATGAACTTTATCAAATTGACGACGCCAGTTGGAGTTGGATCTTTCACGCCGTATAGTGGGTAGGGTCCGATACTAACATTTGCCTCATTAATTTCAAAGTGCGTACCGTGGGCCCTACAAATCACGAATATGGAATTATCGTGGTGGGGTCAACAGTACATCCGTCCAATTTTCCTTTTGAAAAGAGCAATGACCCGATAATTGAGAGGAATATCTATGATAATCAATTAATCATGCATTTATTTTATTATATGCAAAAGTATATTCTTTAAATCACGATGAATCTGGGTAGGCCTGTACAATTATAGATGCCGTTATGCAGAGGGGTTTCTCCACTTTTCTCTCCCTCTGTTTTTATCACAAATTGAACCGTTTAAATTTCATATTTTATAAAATTATAAATAAAATATTTTTATTGTTGTTCAAATCATCCGGGTTAAAATTTACTTAATTTTAATTTTATCTTTTTTAAAAAAATTAACTTTTGATTTATAATTTTATAATATAAAATCTAGGCTATTCAAATTGTAATCTCATGGGAAGTGGAAAGCCTCTTTCCTCGTTATACACAACTTTTTTTTTTGGTTTGGATCGTGTACACACACACGTATTTTACGGTCACATCACTTCCATATTAAAAAAAGAAAAAGAAAACTTCTTTTCCCGTCAATATCGCTGGAGAAATTTCACGTGCTCGCCAGAACACATTTTGTTCCCTTAGCACAGAAGCGAAATGATCATTAATTAAGAAATCGTACAAATAGTTGACACTAAAATGAGAAGGACACGGGTTATCTTGCACGATGGGACAGGTGAAAGAAGGATTACCTCATATTTTAGTTATAAAATCTTATTTATAAATTATAAATAAAATCTTATAATTTGGACACCATATAATAATAATTAACCTACTGGGTTTGAAATAAATATCAACATAGATATATTATGCCTCTTTGGTTAGACGCTTTGGGAAAAAAAAAAGTAATTTGACAAGTCTGTTTTTAAATTTAATAGCTGTTTATAACAGTTTTTGACCAATTTGACTTATGAATTAAAAGTTGTTTTTTTAAAACATGATTCTAATAGCATCTAAAACTTACATATAACTTATGTAAAAGTAGCTTTTTAGAATCAGAAGACATTTTTGTCATTATGTTTTGTATTAGGGGTGTTCAAAGGCTGGTCCGTCCCGGGATCGTCCCGTCCCGGTTCCTTTTTTTTAAAATTTTTTATTTTTTATATCCTATTTATATAATATCATTTTTTTCATATTTTTTTTAAGATTTGAGACTATTGTATAGAACCATGGATATATTTATTTAGAGTTTTTATATTTGTTAATGATTTGAGATTATTGATTATTAGAATTTTTAGCAAGTTTTTATTGTGTTAAAAGTTTTTGTTTAGAGTTTTTAATGATTGTTATATGTAATATTTTGAGCTTTTGTTTAAGAGTGTCCAAACAAATAAAAAATAAAAAGATGTTTTTTATAAGGTTTAAGCCCAAAAAAAATAAAAAAAATCATATTTATTAAAAAAAATTTTAAAAATTTAAAAAAATGTTCGGGACTTCCCGGTCCCGTCTCGGATCTGTCATGTCCCGATCGGGACCGGGACAACCCCGGGACTAGAGCCGGGAAAACGGGCCGAGCCCGTTTAAGCCCGTTTAAGTCGCGGGCCGGGCTTGTATTTTGGAGTCTTGAAAGGGAAGTCGGGCTTAAAAGGGCCTGCCTTGTAGGGCCGAAAAATAAACAGGCCAGCCCTGTAGGGTCGCGGGCCGGCCCGTTTTAAACCCGCCAATATTTTTTTTTTTAATTTTTATATTTTTTTCTTAACTTAAAAAGAAAAACCCTAACATTTTACATATAATATACTCTTAGTTTTACTTACCCCCACTGCTTACACAAATGGCATTCCCAAAAAAAGAAATCACCATAATTCTAAGTATATTAACAAAAATGTGTTATTATTTATAAGTTGTCAAAACCTATTAAATACTGTATGTGTTATTTTACAATCTTTATTTATCATTCTTTCATATTTTTTATACTTGAAATAGAATTGGTTAAAGAATCTTTTGAATTAAAATAAAGATCCATATCATTTTTATAGTTAGAAACAAATTTAGAACTAGGGACGATGAACTCTTTTCTTTTTTGTCAGTAGGACAAACAATTATTTTCTATATATACTATGTTTGTTAGTTAAACTTTTTTGTTAATTATTTATAATTAAACAAGATCATCCATATTGTAATTATTTACTGAACTTAGTGTTTATTTAGTTGTTTATGTCTGTCCTCTATTTAGTTTGTTCATTCAATAGACTCTATTACACTGTGATAGATGTTTTGACATAATGATATTTATGTTTGTGACTTATTTTTATTATATTTATATCTTTTATTAGTAATTTTATTGTTTCATTTTTATTATTTCGATAAAATAGGCAAAAAAATAATAAAAATACATTTTAGTTAAACGGGTCAAAAGCCCGCGGGCCAGTCCAAGCCCGTTATCTCACGGGCCGGGCTTGGGAAAATGCTTCATTTTTTGAACTCCGAGCCCGTGACGGGCCGGCCCGTTTTCCCAGTGCTACCGGGACGGGCCGGGACACGGGATAGAAAATCTGTCCCGTTACTGTTCATTGGGACGGAACCGGGACGGGCCTCCCGGTCCCGATCCGTCTCGTGAACAGCCTTAGTTTGTATTGTTCTTATGCTTCTCTCTATACATTTTTTATACTTTCTAATCAGTTTTTAGTTATTTATTTTTAATATTCTCTTAGGTGAAATAATTTTTAATAGTTTTTATAAATATTTTAATTTTTTTATTTTTTTATTTTATATTTACATAAATTATGTAGAGTATATCATCTATTTGATTATGTAATATTATTTGGTTTAAAATTTTTTTTACATTACTATGGTTTCTAATTTAAATATATTTTATTCATTCAATATAACTTTTCTCTATTATAATAATTTAAATTTATTATATTTTGTACATTTATAATTTTAATCATTTTTATTATTTAATAAAAGTCATACTTATTTTGGTTATTCTACAAATTAAACTTATTCATTCAATTATAATTCAAGTAACTTTTTTACTTTACAAACTAATTTTTATAAAAAAAACAATCTAAACACAAATTATATTATTCAATCTAATTTTTCTTAAAATTATACTAAAAATAAGTTTTCTTTACAACGAATTCAAACAGAACCATTAACATTTGCATTGTGGTGTGTGGTTAAATTAGCTATCCAGGTTCCGTTTGGGGAGTACCTGAGCAGAGCAGAGAAGTACATAATTGAGCGTGGTTTTTTAGGTTTATCCGAAGAAGAAGAAGAACAGGTGAATGGAAGTGACGGCGAAAGTGAGAGTCGGAGGTTCACAAATGACAAATGCATCCAAAAACTAATAAAAAAAATGTACAACCACGCCGTTTTGCTAGACGACAATATGTAAGGTCTTCTTGCCCCGCTGTGGGCGCCGCCGCCTCCAGCTCCCCTGCCACTGCTCATGACAACAATACAAAATGTGCATTATTAATGTGCTCAAATTATATTAAAAACTACTCCTCCAATTCTTAATATAAGACTCATTTAACTAATTTGATTAGATTAAGAAAGTTAGGTAAATTAGTTAATTATAAGAAATGTGACACATTTTTCTTAAAATACCATAATTATCTTTCTTAATACCTCATCTTCCTCTTCTACTTGATTATGGTTAAGGGAGTATTCATAGGAGTAATTTAGAGAAAATTGATAAACATGACAAATGAGTCTTATATTTAAGACCAAAACCAACTCAACAATTGGGTCCTATATTAAGGACCGGAGGAGTATTTCATTAATCTTAAAAAGAATTTAATAAAAAATTTATAAATTTAATAAATAAAATAACACCTCTAATTCTTAATATAAAAGTTATTTTGATTTTTAATTTAGTTTTAAATATAAGATTTTAATCTATTTTATCTTTTATATTTATCTATTTTTTAAATATAGTTTTTATAGTAGTCACACATAATTTTATTTATTAAATGTTATAATTTTAACTAATACATAATTAGCAATGATATTTTAGAAAAAATAACTTCTAATTATTATAAATAATTAACTTAAATTTTTTTTAATTTATTCAAATTAACTAATTAACTTCTATATTACGAATCAGAGGTAATATAATAACTAGTTAGGTGTTAAGTTTTGTTCTAAATATAAAATATTAATTTATTTTGCACTGCACATCTATCTTTTTCGTCAACATTATTTCTTATTGATTGCATATATTAGGATAACTTAGATTTAAGATGATATTTTATGAAAATAATACTTTTTAAAAAAAAAGTAATTAAACTAATTAAAATAAAATTTTCACAAGGTAGGGCGTACCAGGTGCTGAACTGAAACGAAGCAGACGTAACCTTAAGCAAGTCATGATGGAAGCCGTCGAGTGGTGTACCTTTGCCTGTTGATTATATATATATATATAAAATACACACACACATAATATCTCACGTTGCTGTGTGACGTGTCAAGTTGGTTTGGTCTGGTCCCGTACGTGAAACTGCTTCTTGTCACGCTCTCGTCAACTTGTCCTCTCCTCTCGCCTAATTTGAATTCTTCTTGCTGGTAAAAAA